TGGATTCTTCATCTGGATTCTCCATCTGGACTCTCCATCTGGACTCTCCATCTGGATTCTCCATCTGGATTCTCCATCTGGATTCTTCATCTGGATTCTCCATCTGGACTCTCCATCTGGACTCTCCATCTGGATTCTCCATCTGGACTCTCCATCTGGATTCTCCATCTGGACTCTCCATCTGGACTCTCCATCTGGACTCTCCATCTGGATTCTCCATCTGGACTCTCCATCTGGACTCTCCATCTGGACTCTCCATCTGGATTATCCATCTGGATTCTCCATCTGGACTCTCCATCTGGACTCTCCATCTGGATTCTCCATCTGGATTCTCCATCTGGATTCTCCATCTGGATTCTCCATCTGGATTCTCCATCTGGACTCTCCATCTGGACTCTACATCTGGATTCTCCATCTGGATTCTCCATCTGGATTCTCCATCTGGATTCTCCATCTGGACTTTCCATCTGGATTCTCCATCTGGACTCTCCATCTGGACTCTCCATCTGGATTCTCCATCTGGATTCTCCATCTGGATTCTCCATCTGGATTCTCCATCTGGACTCTCCATCTGGACTCTCCATCTGGATTCTCCATCTGGATTCTCCATCTGGATTCTCCATCTGGACTCTCCATCTGGACTCTCCATCTGGATTCTCCATCTGGATTCTCCATCTGGATTCTCCATCTGGATTCTCCATCTGGATTCTCCATCTGGATTCTCCATCTGGACTCTCCATCTGGACTCTCCATCTGGACTCTCCATCTGGACTCTCCATCTGGATTCTCCATCTGGACTCTCCATCTGGATTCTCCATCTGGACTCTCCATCTGGACTCTCCATCTGGACTCTCCATCTGGATTCTCCATCTGGACTCTCCATCTGGACTCTCCATCTGGACTCTCCATCTGGATTATCCATCTGGATTCTCCATCTGGACTCTCCATCTGGACTCTCCATCTGGATTCTCCATCTGGATTCTCCATCTGGATTCTCCATCTGGATTCTCCATCTGGATTCTCCATCTGGACTCTCCATCTGGACTCTACATCTGGATTCTCCATCTGGATTCTCCATCTGGATTCTCCATCTGGATTCTCCATCTGGACTTTCCATCTGGATTCTCCATCTGGACTCTCCATCTGGACTCTCCATCTGGATTCTCCATCTGGATTCTCCATCTGGATTCTCCATCTGGATTCTCCATCTGGACTCTCCATCTGGACTCTCCATCTGGATTCTCCATCTGGATTCTCCATCTGGATTCTCCATCTGGACTCTCCATCTGGACTCTCCATCTGGATTCTCCATCTGGATTCTCCATCTGGATTCTCCATCTGGATTCTCCATCTGGACTCTCCATCTGGATTCTCCATCTGGATTCTCCATCTGGACTCTCCATCTGGACTCTCCATCTGGATTCTCCATCTGGATTCTCCATCTGGACTCTCCATCTGGACTCTCCATCTGGATTCTCCATCTGGATTTTCCATCTGGATTCTCCATCTGGATTCTCCATCTGGACTCTCCATCTGGACTCTCCATCTGGATTCTCCATCTGGATTCTCCATCTGGATTCTCCATCTGGATTCTCCATCTGGATTCTCCATCTGGACTCTACATCTGGATTCTCCATCTGGATTCTCCATCTGGACTCTCCATCTGGACTCTCCATCTGGATTCTCCATCTGGACTCTCCATCTGGATTCTCCATCTGGATTCTCCATCTGGATTCTCCATCTGGACTCTCCATCTGGATTCTCCATCTGGATTCTCCATCTGGATTCTCCATCTGGACTCTCCATCTGGATTCTCCATCTGGATTCTCCATCTGGACTCTCCATCTGGATTCTCCATCTGGACTCTCCATCTGGATTCTCCATCTGGATTCTCCATCTGGATTCTCCATCTGGACTCTCCATCTGGACTCTCCATCTGGATTCTCCATCTGGATTCTCCATCTGGATTCTCCATCTGGACTCTCCATCTGGATTCTCCATCTGGACTCTCCATCTGGATTCTCCATCTGGATTCTCCATCTGGATTCTCCATCTGGACTCTCCATCTGGATTCTCCATCTGGATTCTCCATCTGGATTCTCCATCTGGACTCTCCATCTGGATTCTCCATCTGGACACTCCGCTTTCCTCTACACTCGCGCAAACAAATGCAAGACCACGCTCCCTTCCAGTGTGGTCAGGCAGCACGTGGTGCGCGCCACGTCACGACGGAGGTGTTGAACGAGAGAGAGAGATGGAAAGCGATCGATCAAAAGCGATCGATACATAGAGAGATGGAAAGCGATCGATACATCGAGAGATGGAAAGCGATCGATCCATTGAGAGATAGAAGGCGATTGATCAAAAGCGATCAATCCATCGAGATATGGAAAGCGATCGATCTGTCGAGATGGAAAGCGATTGACCCATCGAAAGATGGAAAGCGATCAATCAAAAGCGATCAATCCATCGAGAGATTGGAATCGATCAATCAAAAGTGGTCAATCCATCGAGAGATTGAAAGCGATCGATACATCGAGAAATTGAAAGCGATCGATATATCGAGAAATTGAAAGCGATCGATATATCGAGAGATTGAAGCGGTCAATCCATTGAGAGATGGAAAGCGATCAATCAAAAGCGATCAATCCATCGAGAGATGGAAATCGATCAATCAAAAGCGATCAATCCATCTAGAGATTGAAAGCGATCAAATACATCGAGAGATTGAAAGCGATCGATACATCAAGAGATTGAAGCGATCAATCCATTGAGAGATGGAAAGCGATCAATCAAAAGCGATCAATCCATCGAGAGATGGAAATCGATCAATCAAAAGCGATCAATCCATCTAGAGATTGAAAGCGATCAAATACATCGAGAGATTGAAAGCGATCGATACATCAAGAGATTGAAGCGATCAATCCATTGAGAGATGGAAAGCGATCAATCAAAAGCGATCAATCCATCGAGAGATGGAAATCGATCAATCAAAAGCGATCAATCCATCTAGAGATTGAAAGCGATCAAATACATCGAGAGATTGAAAGCGATCGATACATCAAGAGATTGAAGCGATCAATCCATTGAGAGATGGAAAGCGATCAATCAAAAGCGATCAATCCATTGAGAGATGGAAAGCGATCGATCCATCCTCGACCCTCGTCGCCCATTTCTGATCGCTCGCACGTTCGATTTGTGTTCGGGGGCTGTTGGCGTGAGCGAGTTGGGGGGGGGGGTGAGCGAGTGTGGGGGGTGGGCGAGTTGGGGGGGGGGTGAGCGAGTGGGGGGGTGAGCGAGTTGGGGGGTGAGCGAGTGGGGGGGTGAGCGAGTGGGGGGTTGAGCGAGTGGGGGGGTGAGCGAGTGTGGGGGGGTGAGCGAGTGTGGGGGGGTGAGCGAGTGTGGGGGGGTGAGCGAGTGGGGGGGTGAGCGGTGGCACAGCGGGTAGCGTGCGCCGCGCTACGCTACCCGGGGACCCGAGTTTCAAATGTCCGCTCACGGCCACCAACACCGGTGACGAAAATCTGAGCAGGTCGCGGGCCTCCCCTAGGTCGACTCGGCCTCAAATGAATACAACGTGTCAATATCACCACTCGGGGAGACAAAGGCGGCCGGGATGGACGTGCAGGCCTCCATCGGTGCTGCCGCTCGCTAACAGCACTTGGCTCAGCAGTCCATTGAGTCTATGCGCGAGGGGGTGGATCTCTGTCCGTGTGTGTGTGTGTGTCTCTGTGTCTTTGTGGGTTTGAATCTTGACGCGCTCATTCGCAGCAGCAGCAGCAGCTCCAAACATCGGTAGAGAAACAAAAAAATTCCGGTTCATTTTTTTTATTAACATTCCTTTTTAAAACGTGTAAAAAAATCATCACGGCGGCCGGTCTCGCCAAGACGTTTCACGTTCTCGCTTCGTAGCGAATAATAATAAATTACCGCGCGTAAAGCTTCAGCAAGCTTACAACAACAACATCAACATCAACGAGCTCCAGTGCTACCGCCCTTCATGGGCGTTTGTCCACGTTCCACAAACAGGTCATTTAGCTTAACGAAAGATCTCGTTTAAACGCACAGTTTTTAATATAAAATACACAAATGACAAGCTTCGCTTCAAAGAAGAGATACTCGATGCCGCAATAGTAGAATGTGACGTGAACCGCATCAGCCACGATCAAACGTTTCTGAATTCAAAGCTGTCAAACCCCGTACCCGAATTCTTGTGCGGGGGAAGGGGGGGGGTGAAATCGAGCAAAAATAAATAAATCCACGTTCGTCTATTTGTTTGCTTCTCTCCCTAGCGATGGGATATTTTGGTAGGATAAACGTTGAGATTATTTATAAGGGCACTAATAATGTGTGAATTGGTCTGCAGTATAAGGTAGGGTGGCCGGGTAAGGGCTTGACAGCTCGCCTGGATGAGACCGCAGTCTGAGCTCTGGTTGGCGAAGCCTCGCAAGAGTTCTCCCTCGTGTGGCCTCTGCTGACACACTGCTGGGGGCAAGTGCTGCTCGGAGCGAGCAGCACTTGCCCCCGATGAATGCCGCCACTGCGGAAACACGAAGGTGGTGGTGGGGGTTCAAAACTGCAGGCCCACTTCCAGCTCCCGTAATCGTGGACGATGCTGTTCACGAACGCCCTCGTGTCTGTGTGTGTCTGTGTGTGTGCCTGTGTCTGTGTGCCTGTGTCTGTGTGTGTGTGTCTGTGTGTGTGTGCCTGTGTCTGTGTGTCTGTGTGTACATATATATTATGCGGTAATATAATACCATACAATTATTTGTTTTTTAAATGCCAAGAGGCATTTCAGGTCTCACTCTCAGGGGTTGGACTCTTCCCAATCACTGCGGCATAGCTCCGAAAGGAGCCGAACTCTACGACACGCACCTCTGAGATGCTCCGGGCGGTACTGATCGCCCATCGGGGTGGCCAAATAATCGCGCGCGTCACCCTCCCCCCCATGCCCCCCCTCCTCGCTCAGTACCAGCGGTCACGTGGGAACCACCGCCGGGCTGCCCCCCCCCCCTCCCTCCCCTCACCACTTAGCGTGGGGCCATCGTCCCACGGTCCAGAGCGTGGACAACCGCGAGCCATCGCCGGTTGCCGCGTGGCAACCGCGAGCCTCGTGGTTGGCACGAGGCCTTGACGCCCCGCGCAACCCCCAATCAAACCCCCGCTCGCTCAGCGAGTGCTGCCAACTCAGCGATTTTGTTACCGGGGATTAAGCGGCATTTCTCCCCCTCTCTATTTGACCACTCACAACCGTGAGTGGCCACGGTGGGCAGGAGATGTTAGCTACCTCGCCTGGTATGCATGAGGTCGTGGGTTCGATCACCAACCATGGAGTTTGCAGTGCCTCTCTCCCCGCGGTCGCGTTAATTGTTCTCCGGGCCTCTCCGGTTTTTCCCTCCACATTTGGAATCGACGTCACTCGTTTAGAGCATCTCTGCTGCTATAGATGTCCACGTGATGATGATGATAAGCCCACTTCATTGAGCTATCATCTGTGGCCAGGTCTCTTCTGAAAAAGAACCATATGGCTCAGTAGCGGGCCATACCTGGTAAAATTAAATACAAAGTTCAATTTCTGTTTTAGTGGTCTGCGATTCGAAGTCGTTGGTGGCCTTTGACCGAACTCGTTTTTTTCTGCTCTTTGTACCCACGCCGGCACTACCATCTCTGCACTCCCAAGCAAGGTTCGACATTTAAGCCGAGGGAGGGAGGGAGCTTTGCTGCTGATAACCAACGAGGCCAAAGTCGACCTGGCAGCCAAGAGCTATTTGCGTTGTTGAGTCTCCATGCGTTTCCCCCTGTGCAGTACGCACGCCGATTTCCCCCCCCCACTTAGTCAAATCGATCGATATAACATATATAAATAAAATACATAAATTAACGCGCGCGCAGAATCACCGTCAAATAATTTACCGCAACCGTCTCCTTTTTACCACGGGCATATAAATAAAATAAATAGGTCAATAAATACATCGACGACATACGCGGACGTTAAATAACACCGTGGCAATAAATAAGCGCGCGAGTTCGCGCGTCGGACAGTTAATCGACGCGCCCCGCCACGGAGGGCCACAGTCGCGGCCATCGCTGGCAGGTAGCTAAGCCGGCCATTGTGTTTGGTCGCAGCCAACGCGCAGGTGGTGCGAGGGTGAAGCGGGCAGCAGAGCAACGTGAGCGGCGGAGCCGCACTTTAGCACCGAGCGCTTTTGCCGCAACGCGGCCGTGGAATTTCAAGTAGATTTCGGTGCACACGCTGTCAAATAACGAGCGCCTCGTGCCAATCCAACTGCCGGAGGAAACGAATACGTTATGAATCTCTTACATTATTAAATTAGTGGCGCATTAACCGAGCCAAGCCAGCAACCCCCGGTGGCTTTTCCCGCCGTGCCGTGCCGTGCCGAGCTGCGACGTGACGCGACAGCTGGCACGCTTTGCCTCTGCGGGAGCCGGCGTCGACCAAATGGCGGCTCGGGGTGACGGCGTGCGACGTCGGTAACGCGGTGCCACCGCCGCCGCTGTGACGTTGACGCGCTGTAGCAGGCCGAAATGAATACGCGGACAGAATTAGTGGTAAATTACGTCAATGTTTCGGGCCCAAATGAGGAATATGCCGATACGTTATCGGCATATTCCTCATTATTCAACGATGCAATACTCGATTAAACGGGAATCGGCCGATTTTTTTGACGAAACAAAGCTTGATCCATGCTCAGACATGATTTCTGGATCTAAAGAGAAGATTCTTGGGGCGAGTAAGCCCCAAATTCGGCCGCCCCTCGGCTACCTCCCGCATCGACATAATTCGTCGTTTGTCCTGTCGCCGATTCACTTCACCCCGTTCACAGCGCTCGTCCCGATCCCCGCCCGGGTCCGTGCCCCGCCCGTCGCCGAGCGGGGCGCGGCAAGCCGCCCACTAGCCCCAGTAGGCGGGCCGCACGCACACGCAGGCCACGGGCACGCGCAGGTACACGTGCGCGTAGGTGTACGTGCCGGGCCGTTGCGGGCACGGCGAGCGGCGCAGGAAGCGCACCGTCTGCTCCACGAGGTGCGAGTTGACCTCGGTCGTCTCGAGGCCGCTCCGCGGGTCCAGGCACCCGTCGCAGAGGCAATGGGCCTCGGCGTAGCGTGACGGCAGCAGGTCCGGGTTCTCCACGATCCTGGGAGGAGGAGGAGGAGGAGGAGGAAGAGGGGGAGACGTCGCCGTTAGTTTTACCGCCATCGTCGAGACGGAGAGCCGACACGGCGAACGTCATTTACGATCGTCATCGTCGCACGCGCGGCTTTGTGTATGCGGGCCTCACCTGTACGACCACGGCGAGATGGAGCGGCTGGAGACGTCCTCGGCGCGCCCGCTCGCGTCGCGGTGAGCCGGCGCCCCCCGGTTGAAGACGGGGCAGCCCTGCGCCGGGCCGCCGCTGTGTCGAGCGTGGCGCCGCGACGTGGTGCTCCCCAGGCGGTCGAGCTCGTTGGCGATGGCCACGGGGTCGAGGTGGTGACCTCCGTGGCCAGCGTGCCGCCCCGAGCGGCGTTGCGCGCCGGTGCCGCCCTCCGTCAGGTCCTTCATCATCTTGAGGACGAGCGGCGAGTTCTCCTCCAGGCACTGCTGCTGCTGCTGCTGCTGCCGCTCCCTGGCACCGCCGCGCTTGCCGTCCCGCTGCCTCCCTTTCCGAGCCGCGGATGCCTGCGGGAGGTCGCCGGCGACGAGCAGCAGCACCAGCAGCAGCGGCAACCCCAGGGACAGCGTCGCCTGTGAAAGAAGAGGCGACGGCGCTCGTCACGTTGTTCCACGGGGTTCGCGTCTTTGCATGTTCAAGGATCGCACTCCCCCCCCCCACCACCCCCCAGTAAAGTCTCATTTTTGTCAAGTCCAGTTTTTGTGGGGGGTTCTCCGTTGTTGATGGCCGAATCGTTCGCACCATTTCGTAAGCGCCCTTGGCTTATTTCAATCACCATCTTATCCCGTGTGGATTTATTCTGCGCCGTATTCCGAGGGCGCTTGAAAGACAATTAACGAACGTGTCCACGAGGTGGCGATGTTGGTCGAGATAAAGAGCGGGGGGTTATCGTGGAACTGTCGCCAGTCGATTGACTGGGACGGGTCACGAGGGGTCGGTTTCTACACACAGCTTCACCGCGCCGGCTGGCGAAGCGTCGGGGCCCCTGGCGCCGGCCGAGACACCGCTCGCCACCGAACGTCAAGCCGTGGCCGGGAGTCGAACGGCGCGCGCAGCGAGCGAGCGAGCGAGCGGGCGACCCGCGAACAAAACTCACAACGCGACGAGCGTAGTAGAGGCGGCCGATGACATTTCCGGTGGCGCCAAAGCAACACTTAAGACTCGCGACGGCATCAACATCATCATGGACCGGCGGATTCTCACGACTCGCAGACGTCCCCCTCCTGCGGTTCCTTTTGTTGTTGCCGTCGCTGTATTTATACCCCGATGACGTCACCGCTCGCTTTGCATGTCGCCCGTCATGGCCAGCAGGCCACACCCCCCCGCCCGGCTCCCTCCCTTTCAAAGGGGGCTGCCCTGGGGCACGACCGCCAGTGAGTTGTCAAATGCAAAGTAGCCCCGGGCCCGCGAGCCACGCGCTCACCCCCCCACCCCACCCCGAAGTGGTTGCGACAGACGCGGAAAAGCGAACCGCTCCCTCGGTGAATTCAACGAATTCGCAGCCGGTGCACGAGGCGCTGTGGCTAGGGCAGGGAGGGGGGCTCAGTGACCGCCTTGAACTCTGCACCTCGTTGGGCTCCCTGCGAGGTCAGAGGACGTCCCGCCGACACTTGACGCGTCGTCGAATCTCGACTCAAAAAAAAACGGATCGGTTGAACAGCAACGACAAAATGGACCTTCCCTCCTCTCGCAGTTACTTTAAAACGTCTTTCTCGCTTCGTATTTCTCTTTGCTCGGTTGATGTTTAACCGGTCCGGCATTCGCCGTGACCGCAGGCGACCCCCCCTTGAGCACGGCCGATTTTCTGTTTTATAAATTCCAATTCTTATTTTTACCGCTGCTGCTGCTAACTTGCAAGCCGCTTTGGTGGGCCAAGGCGTTGTTACAGCGAGGCGCCAACCACGATTCATCCCCCGGCCTTGGCTCCCCGACACCCCGACGAGATCGGAGAGCGCTTCCGACACGTGCGGTGTTGACGAGCGAGTCCGCGCACCCAACGCGCCCCGAGCAGGAAACCCCTCGGTCCACACTGCGAGTACCCACGGCAGCAGTCGGTGGTGGCGATGGTGGGGGTTGTGGTGATGGTGCTAGTGATGGTGCTGGTGGTGATGGTGGTGGTGCTGGTGATGATGGTGGTGCTGGTTGTGATGGTGGTGATGGTGCTGGTGGTGATGGGTGATGGTGGTGATGGTGGTGATGGTGCTGGTGGTGCTGGTGGTGGTGGTGCTGGTGATGATGGTGGTGCTGGTGGTGGTGGTGATGGTGCTGGTAGTGATGGGTGGTGCTGGTGGTGGTGATGGTGGTGGTGATGGTGCCGGTGGTGGTGCTGGTGGTGGTGGTGGTGATGGTGGTGATGGGTGGTAGTGCTGGTGATTTGTGGTGGTGCTGGTGGTGGCGATGGTACTTACAGAGTTGAGCTTCATTGTGCTAGGCGTTGTTTGTGTTCCTGGCGTAGCTGTTCTCCAGCGATGTGGTCCTGCACAGTTCGACTCTCCTCGTTTGTAGCACCCATGCTCAGCCGGCCTCCTTATATATCTGCTCCCTTTTTGCTCGCCGTATTTATTTATTTATCTGGGAATTTTTTTCTATCTCATGGGGCATGTCCCCAAACTCGTTCCTCCTCCTCCATCGCTGCACTTGTCATAAAGTTTACCTGGGTCGCTGACGTGGGTGGTAAACACGACACGGAATTGCCCCCAGACCCCCGACTCTGCCCCGCCGTGTGCTTCGCGTTACACGTGGCCCTACCCCCGCTCCTCCCTCTCCCTCTCGGCTGCCATCATCAACCGCCGAGAGGAATGCAGAAGAACGTGATTTGGCAGTGAACCCACCTCCATCTCTCTCGCTGTGTACGCGCGTGCGTCCGCTTGATGATGAAATACGCTGGCGGAGACGCGTTATCAAATCCCCCCCTTCCCCCCCGTGGCTTGAGGCGTTCGCTCCGAACGACCGATGCCATCCGTTGACTCGTTTGGCCATACTTCACCATTGCCGGTCGGTGCAGCTTTTGGTGAAGTGAGCGGGGTTTGGGAGTGGTGGGGGTGGTGATGGTGGTGGCAATGGTGGCATTTGGGAATGTTTCAGATTCCATGGGGACCTTTCGCCAGTGTCAAAGTATGACAAATAAGGGGTAGCTTTTCACCCTTTCTACCAATAAAGCTAGCGTGCAGATGTTCAAACACCAAATGGATAATTTGTTCAAGGAAAACACATCTTATCACCCGTTTTATTTCCAGAGAGGTTCAAACCTATACATTTTTTTATTTGCCATACTTTGATACTGGCAAGAAGGTATCCCACGACACAGCTATGAATGCTCTGATCCGTGTGGCATTGTCTTTGTACTGGTCGCATTTTGGCGCTGCTGTCTGGCCGCGACACCGGTTGGCGAGACTTGTCCATGAATGAGGCTCCCGCCTTGGTGCAGGCCAATCAGTTTCAAGGCCGATGCGAATATTATCCGAGCGTGTCGCTTGTCTGCGTCTTCGCTGCTGCGGTATGGCGACTGCGGGCTGGCAGCTGCTGGCGTTAGCCGCTTATTGGAGCTCGGCCCCGCTTCGCACGGCCACCGACGTTGCGGCGGTGGCTTTTTAATCACCCCCCTCCCCGCCGCCCCCCAAGTCGCCCAATGGCCGAGCGAGCGAGAGACAGGGAGAGGGACAGAGAGATAGAACGTGTGAAACAGACAGAAACAACACGTAAACGGATCTCCCCTCTTTCTCTCTGTCGGTCTCAAGAGAGATCTCAGCTCCCAGCTTGGCTACCGCTGCAGGAATATCTGCACAGACCCCCGTGACGTCAATCGCAAAGGGTGTGGTGTGGCTATGGGGGGGGGGGACCCCCCCCCACAAACATTCTCTGTGTACCGCCGTAATGGTCCAAATCCAAACTTGAGCAATTTTTGTCTGCGTGGATTCGTTTGCTGCTGTCGCAATCCCCTGCCCCTCCCCGTGAGTTTCCTGCGCGTTCTATGGCTTACGGTCGCACGGCTTGCGAAGGAACAACAACAAACAACAACAAACAACAACAAAAAACAACAACAGAAAAGTGGCGAGCGAATGAACCACGTGGCGTAACCGAATCCTGTTTGCCCCCAAACGGCACCACGACCGCCGCGGAAAAAAACAGCAACAGCAACAACAGCAACAACAACAGCAACAACAGCAACACGGGAAACAGCAACAACAGCAGCAACAACAACAGCAACAACAGCAACAACAGCAACACGGGAAACAGCAGCGGCGTCTCATTACCAACAAACAAACTTTAAAAAACCACCACACGCGTGCACGCGCACGTTATTTCTGCGTCCACGAGGGTTGCGCTACGAGCTGGTTGAACAATTCGCGGTGACAAGAGGCATCGCGACCTGACAGCCGTCATCTCCAGCGTTGCTTCACGCACTCGCTGTCATACCCAGGGGGGGATGGGGGGTGTGGAGCGCGCCCTCACCCCTCTCGGTATTCTTCCCGATGCGAGAGGCGCTTGGAGGTGACGCGGCCGAGGAGGGCAAATCCCCCCCGCCCCCCTCTCTCTCTCTGCTGGGATCGCGTAGAGCCCCTCGCTCGCTGGAGGTCAGTCGCCTTCCTCGTCGCTGATCGAGCGCCGTTTCCGCCCGTCGATTACTCCGCCCCGGTGTTCGTGGACTCCCGCGTGCGCACCTCTCGCTCGACGGTGTTTTTGGCCTACTCTTCCATGCTCTGCCAGATGTTTTTGTTTTGTTTTAATGGACTGATTGGGGAAGGCTTCCCCCCCTCCCCCCGGGAGTTGTTGGACCACACTTCACCTTTTATTTGGTTCGCTCATCGATTACTCCGCCCGATGGTCGAGGGCTCAGGTCGCCCCAGACACCGCTCGAGGTCGTCTCGACCGGCATACCCCGCGGTGTCCAACCACTTCCACCGCCACCACCACCACACCACAGGCCACAACAACCCACTCGCTCACCCACTCGCTCACCCACTCACTTACCCAATCACTCTCTCTCAACTCGCCCACCCACTCGCTCACCCACTCACTCTCTCTCAACTCACCCATCCACTCGCCCACCCACTCGCTCACCCACTCACTCACCCAATCACTCGCTCTCAACTCGCCCACCCACTCACTCACCCACTTGCTCACTCTCTCTCTCAACTCGCCCACCCACTCGCCCACCCACTCTCTCTCTCAACTCGCCCACCCACTCGCCCACCCACTCGCTCACCCACTCACTCACCCAATCACTCTCTCTCAACTCGCCCACCCACTCACTCACCCACTTGCTCACTCTCTCTCTCAACTCGCCCACCCACTCGCCCACCCACTCGCTCACTCTCTCTCTCAACTCGCCCACCCACTCGCCCACCCACTCTCTCTCTCAACTCGCTCACCCACTCTCTCTCAACTCGCCCACCCACTCGCCCACCCACTCGCTCACCCACTCGCTTACCCACTCGCCCACCCTCTCTCTGTCGCTCTCAACTCGCCCACCCACTCAATCACTCACGCGCTCGCCCGCTTGTTCACACCCCTGCGAGGTCAACTTCTCTCTCTCTCTCCGCTTCTTCCCTCGCATTGCTTGCTTACAATCGGGAATTCCTTCCTTCCATCACCTCTTTCCCCACAAGCTGTAGTAATAACCACACCGATAACAACAGCAAACAGCCTCGCTCGCTTCTACGAGCGGTGTTTTTGCCCTCTCAATCTGTCACAACGTCGACAAGCCGTTTGCCGCTCGGCATTGTGGGCCCTTGAGCAAAACTCTGCTCGGCGAAGCTGCCTCGGCATGAAATTAAAATCAAAGAGTGAAGTGCACTTGCTTAAGGTGCGCGCGTGTGTACGTGTGTGTCTGTGTACGTACGCGGACCCCCCCCCCCCCCACTTAATGGAACATCTTCGCCGGTTAGAAACATTTAGGCTGGCCTGCCCACGATCCATCCTAGGTTTAACCAGGCTGGATTGTGAGGAGCTCACAAATCCTTGAAAGATCTGGGCAAGGTCCCATCGGTGAGCTCCTCCGGCAGGCAAGGCTGCGTTGGATGGGTCATGTAGCCCGCATGCCCAGCCACCGCATGCCTAAACAGCTTTTGTTCGGCCGGATAAAGGGAGCTAAACGGGCGCGGCACGGGCTAGAGAAGAGATGGAGTGATGTGGTACAGGAGGACGTGGAGCTGAGTGGACTTGCCGATGACTGGTACCAGCGGTGTCAAGATCGGCCTCTGTGGAGGAGGCTCGCGAAGGACGCTACTGGGCAGTTGGAGGCAGTCGCCCTCCAGCAACAACGGAGGGCAGAGGAGCGACGCTCACAACAACGAGCGAAGCGCCGGGTGGCTAAAGCACAGCAAGTTGACACAGTAGGGGGCACAGGTGGTGCATCAGCCAGTCATCTCAGTCAGTCGACCCGTGGCACCTGGGTCTGCCCCGTGACCTCCTGCTAGCGGGCGTTCGATACTTCACGTGGCCTCAACGTGCACTTAGCCTGGCACCGCCACTTAGTGGCGAATGGCGGTTGTTGTTGTGTACGTATGTGTGCGTGTATCACTGTGTGTGCGTGTGTGCAGGGGAGCGGTAGTGTAGCGGTAAGCGCTACGCTGCGCTACGAACCCGGCTACCCGGGTTCGATTCCCGCTCACGGTCAACACCGGTGACGATTATCTGAACCGATCCTGGGCCTCCCCTAGGTCGACTCAGCCTCAAATGAGTACCCGGTGCGGTGTGAAAACGTCGTCCTACCCGCCCTGCCCTACCCTGCCTTGTCCTGCCCGGCCTACCTGCCCTGCACTGCCCTGCCTTGCCCTGCCCGCCCTGCCTTGCCCTGCCCGGCCTACCTGCCCTGCCCTGCCCTGCCTGCCCACCTGTGTTGCAACCGATAACGCAGCTGAAAGGGTGATTAGTTAAGCTGTCCACGTCGGCGCGATGCACGCGCCACTGCGTTCTGCTCGAACGTTGCAAGCCCAGCCGGTTTTTTTTATTTGGGTAGTTTAATATCTAATTTTATTTGTAATTATTTGTGGTTGGGCCGATTTTATATATGTAAAAAAAATCATTATTTGTGGTTGGGCGGATTCTATATTAAACATTTGTAATATTTGTGGTTGGGCCGATTTTATATTTAATTCAAATTATTTGTGGTTGGGCGGACCCAGGTGAGGTAGACCCAGGTGAGTTAGACCCAGGTGAGTTAGACCCAGGTGAGTTAGACCCAGGTGAGTTAGACTCAGGTGAGTTAGACCCAGGTGAGTAGACCCAGGTGAGTTAGACCCAGGTGAGTAGACCCAGTTGAGTAGACCCAGGTGAGTTAAACCCAGGTGAGTAGACCCAGGTGGGTTAGACCCAGGTGAGTAGACCCAGGTGAGTTAGACCCAGGTGAGTTACACCCAGGTGAGTTAGACCCAGGTGAGTAGATCCAGGTGAGTTAGACCCAGGTGAGTAGACCCAGGGGAGTTAGACCCAGGTGAGTTAGACCCAGGTGAGTTAGACTCAGGTGAGTTAGACCCAGGTGAGTAGACCCAGGTGAGTTAGACCCAGCTGAGTTAAACCCAGGTGAGTAGACCCAGGTGAGTTAGACCCAGGTGAGTAGACCCAGGTGAGTTAGACCCAGGTGAGTTAGACCCAGGTGAGTTAGACTCAGGTGAGTTAGACCCAGGTGAGTAGATCCAGGTGAGTTAGACCCAGGTGAGTTAGACCCAGGTGAGTAGACCCAGGTGAGTTAGACCCAGGTGAGTAGACCCAGGTGAGTTAGACCCAGGTGGGTTAGACCCAGGTGAGTTAGACGCAGGTGAGTTAGACGCAGGTGAGTAGACCCAGGTGAGTTAGACCCAGGTGAGTTAGACCCAGGTGAGTAGACCCAGGTGAGTTAGACCCAGGTGAGTAGACCC